TTCTACTACAGGGGCAAAAACTTCCAGCATGTACCTAACTTTATAATGTTAATAGTAATATATCAAAAGTTCGGTCACAGTGAATTGCTTAACGAAAGAAACAGTATTAAATGATTTTTCCTGCAAAATTGACAAGCTTACTATTCAAACACATCCATTTGAAATCCCTAGCTTAAAAATAGGTCTAAGCAATCTACAATTCACAATAACTTCTCCTTCTCCTTCCCTTCCTCCTCCTCCTCCTCCTCCTCCTCCTCCTCCTCCTCCTCCTCCTGTTAGATGCTAGTTATTGTGAGAAATGTTTCAGCTAGGCAACTTCCATAAAAGTGGTATAGAATATTTGAAATGAAATCTAAAATATGCACCCCGTATTTTAAAATTATTCATAGAATATTTTTATTTCACTCAAGCACATCCTTAATCAGTTCTAAAAGAATGAGCCTCAGTTATCAGTGAATCTTAACAAAATAAGATTTAAATGTTTCAATTTGTTTAATGTCTGTCTTGTTCTGAGCATGCCATTAGTTATTTACAAAGAGATCCATTTACAGGAGACCTCTTATTTTAAAGGTGGATTTATTTATGATGTACTGTTACACATACCATTACAGATGCTGATAGGATCAACATGTTTTATTTTTGTTTTCAGAAGGAAATAAAATTTGATATTGTCCAAACTTAAAATTATGTATTTGCAAGAATTTTTAAGTTCCCATTAGGGTAGATGAAAGCATTCTGGCAAATGAATGCTGATGATTGATTAGGTCTATTGGATGTCAATTTCTTGAAATGGCAACTCTCACATACAGTATATCCTGTACCGCAAATTCCACAAATGGCTTGGAAAAATGTAAATTTTATTTCAGGAACCTTTCCTAACTTATCTTACCATTTGAGTAAACTCGTGAAATCTCAATATAGAGACTTACGAAATACAAAGAAATGCAAAGAATTCAAATACAATTTCTATAGCATTAAGCATCTGAGCAGACAAACATATACTAAAATACAATTTTAATGTATTTAGTGTATTTCTGCTTATCCACGTAAACCACATGTTTGGGCCATGTGGTACAAAGGAACTTTTTGATTGTTAACTTTTGATTGTTAGGTCATTGGTCATTGGTCAACCCCATTTTGCAAAGCTTGTGAGATCTCAGTTTTTCCACTTTCTCCTTTTAATATTCTCATAAATTGGAAAATCAGTTTTTCATCATTTATATCCAAACCATATTTGTCATAAAGCAACACCTCTATTCCCTTTTGTTGAAGATTTGTGAATTTCTACATGAGCCATCTGATTACCTACAAATCTTTTTGACATCAATAATTCCTAAGTATGTAATTTCTAGTATCTTCAGAAGTAGGTAGATAAAAGATAATATGAACCATTAGTACAGTATAAATCTAATGCTGCTTTCCTGCTTTTTCTTGCAGTTCCTAAATCAAGGCATATCCGGCTCTTATCGTATTCTCATTTTGCTGAAATAGTACATGCTTCATTGTAAATTGTGACATTTGATACTAAAGATTTTAAATACCAGGCTGATATGGTATTTATTCTCAGCCCCAGTGAGATTAAAACATTTGATTGCTTCAACTCCTAGTGAATCACATCCTGTGTAGTTTCATCCATGAGTAGCAATTCCAGAGAAATATTATCACAACAAAAAAATACTCCAGTGATCATGGCATCTAGTCAGCAGCACTTGTGTAGGGAAGAGTTACATAGCTTCAGGCCATTTTATGCTTTTGTCTGTGCATGTGTCTGCATGTATATGAGAATAACAGAATAATAGAGTTGGAAGGAACCTTGGAGGTCTTCTAGTTCAACCCCCTGCTCAAGCAGGAGATGCTTACCATTTCAGGCAAATGGCTGTCCAATCTCTTCTCAAAAACCTCACACCCACAACTTCTAGAGGCAAGCTGTTGCACTGATTAATTGTTCTCACTGTCAGGAAATTTCTCCTTCGTTCTAAGTTGCTTCTCTCCTTGATTAGTCTCCATCTGTTGCTTCTTGCCCTGCCTTCATGTGCTTTGGAGAATAGCTTGACTCCCTCTTTCTTGTGGCAGCCCCTCAAATGTTGGGGATAGCTTTGTTTTATGTAGCAGAGTAGTTATTTGCATTTTCTCAAGTTGGGTTATGAAACATCTGCAAGAAAACTACTAAGCTCAGGGAGGACCAAGAAACCCACAGTTCAACCTGAGCTACAAATATTATCTTCTATTGATATCTGACTTGAGTGTGTGCACATATGCCAACATGCCTTTGAGTCAGTTTTGACTCCTGGCAAAGCTTGGATGACTCTCTGCAATTTTCTTGTCAAGATTTCAGAAATAGTTTGCCATTGCCTCCTCTCTAGGGCTGAGGGGATGTGATTGGCCCAAGATCACCTAACATAGGACTAGAATTCACAATTTCTTAGTTTCTAGCCTGGTGCCTTTACCTTTACACCCAAATGGCTTCCTCAGCCCTGTCAGATGCCACTTTGTTACAGATGGAAACCAGAGCATGCTTCTCTTGCTGCTTCTCACAGGATGGGTAGACGGCATTGAGGAGAGACAGTCCTGAAGGTAGTCCAGGAGCTACTCCAAGGCCTTATGCAGTATTCCATTTGGTTTTCTTTTTCTGATTTATATGGCCATTCATCTCACAAAAGCAGCTCTGGGAGGTGGGCAACAATCAGTAAAAATAATATGTCTATAAAAATGTAAAACCACATTAAAATGAGAAAATAATATTAAACAATTTAAAATCTACAAACAATGTAGGGAGACTAAAAGATGATTTACAATGGAGCCGTTTAAGGTATCCTTGGTTCCCTTAGATTCCCCCAAGGCATGGTAACATACCACTACTTGCACAATTCTGGCTTGATCCACGCAAAGCAAGGAAATCAAAAGAAAAGAAAATAAGACTTCATGTGTTTCCTATTCACAATATGAGACATCACAGGTAGTCCTCAACTTACAACCACAACTGAGCCCAACATTTCTGTTGCTAAGTGAGACATTTGTTAAGTGAATTTTGCCCCATTTTACAACCTTTCTTGCCACAGTTGTTAAATGAATCACTGCAGTTGTTTTTTTAAATGAATCTGGCCTCTTCCCCATTGATTTTGCTAGTCAGAAGGTCGCAAAAGGTGACCTAGGCTATCTCATGGGATTGTAAATAGGATAACATGGGAAGAACCATATACATTACCTTCCTTGAAGCAAAATATAATAGGGTCTGGAAAATATGGAACACTGCAAGCATCATAAATATGAGTCAGTTGCCAAGCATCTGAATTTTAATCATGTGACCATGGGAATGCCATGATGGACTTAAATGTGAAAAGTAATCATAAGTTACTTTTTTCAGTGCCACTGTAACTTTGAATGGTCACTAAATGAACTGTTGTAAGTCAAGGACTATCTGTATTGGTTTTCTGCAAGACGATACAAGATTAGCATTTAAGTAACTGATGTTTTTACAAGAGAAATCAAACTTTGTTTCTGAATACTAAAATCATACATGTGTATAAAGGACTATATTACACACTGACCAGACTCTTTTGTACTAAAATTCCACATTTAACAATTGTGAAATAATCCAATTTGGAAAATTTGTATCCTTGAAGAGATTTCCCAAGTGCAATTTGTGTATAGTTTATAATGTTTGTTATGCATGTTTTATATTCTGGTATTGATCAGAGATCACACCGTGCAATCCCCTGTTCTTAGATATTTTGTTAGATAACTAATGGGATACAAGTAAAGATGTGGCCTAATTAATCTTGACAGACAATAAATTTAGTTGTTTTCATTTTATTTAACCACTGTCTTTTGTCTTCTGAATTTTTCTATGTGTGGGAAATCAGGTTTAAAACTTTACAAAGCAATATATCTCCTTGGATCAGTTGAATCAAAGGCTTTCTCTCATGCTAATGCCTAGGCTATCCATGAGATTGTAAACAGGATAACATGGGAAGAACCATACACACTGCACTCCTTGGAGCAAAATATAATAGTTTCTTGAAAATATGTTCTAAATAATCTTGCATTTTTTACATATTTATGATCTGGATTTATAAGGCTGTCCAACAGTGATAATGTGACTCTGGGTGGTGTACAGCATGAAAACAAACAGTAAAACAAACAAATAAAAAAAAAACAAACTATATAAAGGTGTGGTTTAATAATTGTGTTGAATAACAATCTCTTTGCAAATATGACAATAATAAATGGCAGTAAAAAGTACATTTTCCAACCAATGGGATCATTTACAACAACATAAGCCTTCAGTGTGAAACTGATTAAAGTCTGATCAGTTTCAGGCAGCATTTGTGAGCTGGCTAGAGGGTTCTAATCAACTAAGTAGGGTCATAGATTGTTATCTTGCAATTAGTATTTTTAGGGATCTGCTGTGCTGCAGAAAAAGACAGTTGAGGAAGAGATGGCTTGTTTAAGCAGTCTCTCCTCCCTGTAAGGGGCAAAAAAAGGAAAACAAACAGGTTCAGGCACTGTATGAGAGCACTTTCTTTGGATGAGACAAGAGCAGGGGTGTCAAACTGCTGGCCCACATCATGCGGAAGCCATGCCCACCCCATTGCCGACAATGGCAAATGTTCCGATATGTTGCGCGACATCACGTGACATGGCAAATTTGACATGTTTGGACAAGAGCAACAGCTGATCTTTGCAGCATCTCTCTTTTTCTTAGTCACATGGTTTGCTTAGTCGACTATGTTGCTTTGCAAGAATTTCTGCATTCCTTAAATGAGGACTACCTGTAACACTGAAACATGTACAAAAGTATTATTTAATCCAAAATATAAAATGACAACCATCACACATTGAACTAAGCCATAAATTGATTTAATTGAGTTTAACATATTGTGGGAACCCAGACATTGTGGTTTACTCTGCAAACATTGTTTAAATGAATCATGACTTGAACCAAAACAAAATTAAACAAAATTATTTTCTATGGCCTTTGTTTTTCTCTTGTTCTGCAGCTTGAGAACTACATTGTGGAAAACATGAAGTCAGAAATGGCCCAGCTGCAGCAGAATGCTGTCCAAAATCACACAGCCACCATGCTGGAAATAGGAACTAGCCTTCTCAGCCAGACAGCAGAACAGACAAGAAAACTCACAGATGTTGAAACACAAGTAAGTAGTCACAATTACCTTCACCAGAACATTGATTATGGTAACATAATTTCCTTTCCCTTTCCCCGAATAATCCTTTTGGACTGAAGTAGCCAAGAAGGTGATCAGTTTAACTGTGAGCTATATATATTAGCTTATATAAGGAAGTAGTCAAATTTTGATTAAAACAAAAACTTTTCGAATGCATACTGAACAGTAGAAATGTCAAAGTAAATAAAATCCTAATGGTTGTCATATGAGGTCTATATGAGATATTGAGTCTTTATCCTAGCTGGGTAGATCTCCTTACTTTATATTTTTATAGTACTTCTAAGTCATCCTTGCAGCTAATTCCATGGGTATATTTACACATTGAAGGGTGTTCAATACTTGGCCTGTATTTGCTTGAAGTCAACTGAAAAGCTATTCTCACTGAAATTATCAACTAACTGATCAAAATTCTTTCCATTTTTAATATGCTAGAAAAGCTAGCATTGACAGAAAAATGTTAGAATCCTTCCTGATAAGGACGGGTGGCTTTCTTGCATTGTTCTGTGGGTTTGGTCAGTCTATTTTCAATTGGTCCATAATTCTGCTTAACAGGAAAATGTCTAAACCTAATGAGCAAGTGGGTGGTGGAAGAAATATGTCTCACTTCCTAGTGAATCATCTTTTTCAAAGGGCATACTATGGTTTTAAGATAAGGAGCCATGAGAAGTGAACTTATAAATCAGATGGAAAGAAAGAATGGCACAAAAAAAATACAGTATTCATAGATGCACTACTACAATTTTTGATATTCTGCTTTAACAATGAAGAGTCTTTTCTCTGGATCCTGCTAAAGCAATATCCAAAGTCTTGATCAACCAGCATTGATTTGCAAACATCAAAATTGCCTTTCAGCTATGGTTTCTTAATAAAACAAATGTGCACTAGAAACATCCCACATATATGCAAAAATATTTATAAAGTCATAAATTCAAGATTAAGATTATTTTGATGCAGGTTTTTTTTTTTACATTTTACAAATTCTGTGCTACTGCAGTGTGATAACAATACAAAGAATGAAGGAACTTAAAGCTGAAGCAAAGATGTAGCACCAGCCCAGAGACATTGATGTGGTCATCCTGTGTCCAGGAATACCTAGGATAAAACATATGAAGGCTACCTAATTGAAGGTTATCTAAATCCTATATTCCAGTATAGCCATTATTCATCACCTAAATGAGAGTTGATTGTAATATCAAAGGAGATAGGTCAATTTTGCTGCTTTTCCAGGCTGTAATTGACTCACTGCTACATAAAAGACTAAGAAGTGCAGACAACATATGGTTAATTCAAGGACGTGCTAGGAACTCATCAGAAACAGGACTAGTGTAAGAAGGGAAGAGAGAGATAATTCCTTAGTATCAGCATTTCAAATTCTGAAATTCCATTGGTCCAAACTCATTGGACATCCTTTCATTGTTGTTTGTCCTTTGATTTTATCTTTCAGTTCACAATTCATAATTCCTTACCATTCTTTTCTAGTTACAGATTTGAGCACATGGTATCTAACAGTTGTTTTATTTTAGACTGGCTGCTTTAAACAAATACATTCATATCTGTGATCATTACATGGGCAATTACACCTACCACCCGAGTGTATGAGATGGACACACAAACACACACACATAATCATTCTTAAACTTGAACTATATATGCAATATCCTTTCCATAATTATTACTTTGATGTATATTAACATATGGAATAACCAAGATCAGTTACCCAAGGGGAAAAAACACAACAATTCAATCTAGCTAGAGATAGTGTACACATGGTGATGACAAGCCTTGTTTAAGCTCTCAGCTTCTTTTGTTTTCCAGAGAAAGTCTAATAAAAAATTTCATATGAAGTGGACTTAGCTTATGGGTAATGGGATATTAATGCAGGAAATATTTGGAACAAAAAGTGTTGCATTTTTGTATTTATATCATAATGAAGAATAGAGACTACATTACAGATTTACACTGTATTAAAAGGAATCAAGCATAACAAAACTCAACCATTGTTATATTCTATGTCTTATATTCTATGTCTTATATTACTGCCAGGGTATAGTTGCTAGTTTTTGTTTTGTAATAACAGTCCCAGTACTCATTGAGAAAGCAGGATTTTAGATTAATGGCTTTCTATGGCACTTTCTCACCATATGAAGAAAATATTGGACATGTTCAAGACATAAAACATAGATATTTGGCTCTTTTGTTCTCTTTAAGGTTTTTTTAAAGTAACACATGAAGACACAAGATAGAAAAATATGGGGCAAGATAGAAAAATGTGGGGTCAAGATAGAAAAATGTGGGGTAAACAGCATCACCACCAGATGGATCCTTAGCTGGCTGACCGGCCGTACTCAGCAAGTGGTCCTCAATGGAACCGCATCTACATGGAGGGAAGTGTTTAGTGCCCAAGGGCTCTGTTCTGGGCCCAGTGCTCTTCAACATCTTCATCAATGATTTGACGAGGGGATAGATGGGGAACTCATCAAATTTGCAGACAACACCAAGTTGGCAGGAATAGCCAACACTCCAGAAGATAGGCTTAAGATACAGAAGGATCTGGACAGACTTGAACACTGGGCACTATCTAACAAAATGAAATTCAATGGTGAAAAAAACAAGGTTCTACGTTTAGGCAAGAAAAACCAAATGCACAGGTATAGTATAGGGGGTACCTTGCTCAATAGTAGTAACTGTGAGAGAGATCTCGGAGTCTTAGTGAACAATCACCTAAATATGAGCCAGCACTGTGCTGCAGCTGCCAAAAAAGGCCAACACAGTGCTAGGCTGCATTAACAGAGGAATAGAATCAAGATCACGTGAAGTGTTAATACCACTTTACAATGCCTTGGTAAGGCTACACTCGGAATACTGCATCCAGTTTTGGTCACCACAACGTAAAAAAGATGTTGAGACTCTAGAAAAAGTACAGAGAAGAGCAACAAAGATGATTAGGGGACTGGAAGCTAAAGCATATAAGGAATGGCTGCTGGAATTTGGTATGTCTAGTTTAATGAAGAGAAGGACAAGGGGGGACATGATAGCAGTGTTCCAATATCTCAGGGGCTGCCACAAAGAAGAGGGAGTCAAGCTATTTTCCAAAGCCCCTGAAGGCAGGACAAGAAGCAACGGATGGAAACTAATCAAGGAGAGAAGCAGCCTAGAACTAAGGAGAAACTTCCTGACAGTTAGAACAATTAACCAGTGGAACAACCTGCCTCCAGAAGCGGTAATTGCTCCAACAGTGGAAGTTTTTAAGAAGAGACTGGACTGGGTTTGGACTAATGACCTCCAAGGTCCCTTCCAACTTTACTATTATTATTACTAAATTATGCAAGAGATAAAAATCATACTAGTGCTCCAACTTTTCATCTCAATGTTTTAGTGTTGTGTGACAAGGTCTGAGAGTGAACTCTATTAAAAGGTCCAATCTGGGTCAGTCACCAGAACCGAGGGACAAATCATGCTTTGCAAAGATTGCTTGGAGGTGGGAGATACTTACTCTGCATGGATTGTCCCTGTGACTATGTGGGAAGCTAACCATCAGATTGCAAGAACACAAATGAGTGGTCAGACGAGGAGATTGGAACTCATTGGTAGCCTCACATTGCAATGAACAAGGACATACATTCAATTTCTCAGCTACTAAGATTATTGGCCAAGCAGGTACAAAGACAGCCAGGGAAATGATTGAAACCTGGAAATGGACCCCTTGTTAGTCAACAGTAATGCTGATTTATCACCAGCTTATCAGGTACTTGGCAGCACAAGGAAACAATAATCAACAACAGCCAACAACCTAATAGCCAGCCATCAACACCCCAATCAACCAATAAGAAGCCACAACCAACTAGAATAGACCAAAGCATTCTGGTAAAGAGAAGTTCCTTGAGGATGAGCTCCAGCATGAGTACAAAAGCTCAGAAGACTAACCTCTGGTCCCAGTGACCGACCCATATTAGATCGTGCGACATTATCCTGAGACATTAATATTTGCCTTCATTCGTGTATTAAAAGGTTTTCAGTGCAAATTGGATAAAGTTGCAGGTTACGTATAAAGATATTTACATTACAAGCAAAGACAAATATATCTTACCACATTATAAGGTCCAGGATAGAAAGAGCTAGGACAAGCTAAATATGAGGAAATAAGTGCAGGATATGTTCATACAATTCCAATCACTATATAGTATACCCTTCATTTCTTAAGAAAAGTTAATATTGACTTATTTTGCTACTGCTTTCATTCATGGGAGGTTGGATAGATATGTTACGTACTACTAGAACACATGCATTAAGTAACCATTATCCATTTTCAGACAAGTAGCCATCATTTATACAATCTTACTTATTTAGGTGATAAAACCCATTTTATCAAAGGAGCTGTTGAATACAAAACTCTTCCTTAAATAATACTTAAAGTTGATGAAAATTGCCTCCCTGTGCAAACCATACTTTTAGAAGGAAAGCTGTGGTGGAATGGAAGTAAAAACAGGAGAATCCGTAAATACTTCCATAAATTCTCAGATATTTGACTTCTTCTGCATTGTTCTCTTGTTGTGTGTAGAAAAAATGGTCTTTGATTGTATCAATTTAACTACTTTTTGTTTCTAGCATCTAGGAATATTATTTTGTTCAGTATAGATTGAGAATGGAAACAGTTGACATTAAGGAAATATAGAGAGGAATGCAGACTTCTCTTATGGAGATATACACTATCTAGGATGATGAAAATGCTATAAATAAATAAAAACCAAATATAGAAAAAGGGATACCATGGGATAATGATATATTAGAAATTGTGTTTATAGAGCAATTTTTGGAATCTGGTTTCTTTGATTTAAAAACTGAATTCAGCCTGGCAGGTTCCCCAGATCTGAAAATTCAATTTGAAAATGAACACTAAAAATCCTGTACTACTTGCTACTGTTACTGAATAAGATATATCAATGAGGTATCTATATAAGGTGCATTGAATATATTGATCAAGATGATAGTTACGAATCAGATTGCTTTTGATCTGTGTCTATCTTCAGTGTCTATCTTCATTTTAACATTTCATGTTTGTACCAACAACTATTTATTTTGTGGCCTCAATTTATTGCAAGGTTTTTTTGGTTGTTTGTCTTCTTCAGGTTCTTAATCAAACATCCCGGCTTGAAATCCAGCTGCTGGAAAATTCCTTATCTACTTACAAGCTGGAGAAACAGTTGCTCCAACAGACCCATGAAATCTTGAAAATCCATGAGAAAAACAGGTGAGGATAAAATGAATGGTATAAACTTATAGTTTTCCATCTCCAAAGTGAGATGTTTGCTTCCAGAAAATGCTGATTTTTCTCCAAGAGGGTTCCATTATTTATATCTTAACAAATCAATCCAAAAATTTCCGCAGTGGTTTGTGCATCTGCAGGGGTATCTCATCCAGAACAAGTATTGTCAAGGGCATATTCTACTCTTGACTACCACCAAGTCAACTACCAAGAGAACATTTCCATAACCTTGTAAATTTCTTTCTTTGTGGAATTTCTTTATTTGGAGAAGCATTTGTCTATGTTAGTTGGCATCTGGGAGCTGTCCCCAGAAAACCATTTTGCTTCCACTGAATGACATTCTGAAACCTATTCAAAACCTGCTTGTTTTCTCAGGCTGGGGTCCCTATGGTTTTTGTGATATTGAATTAACCTTCTGGGCAGCACTGCTTCTTTATATATACATATACTTTTTCTTTTAACTGTAGGCTGTCCAGAATCAGTAAGGAGGTGATCACCCTCCAAACTGAATGAATGAAGAATGAATGAATGAATGAAATTTATCATGAAAAATGATGTAATCCACACCAAACTGTATTACTCTACTTTAATAAGAGGTAGGGATACATATATATATTCAAAAAGGCACTTTGTTTCTATAAAGATTTGTGTGAAGCATCTCCAAAAAGGGTCAAAGTGCCCCATTTCTAAATGAGGGAGCAACATAGTCACAAAATTTTGCCCTGCTCACCTAAAGTAGATACTATTCACCTAAGAAGATGCACAACTGCTTTGTGGAGGTGGGTTGCTTACCCCCAAGGAATATTTTCCATACCAAAGCAGAATAAGGTTCCTCTGAAAAGTGAAGCATTTGGGTGGTGATTGTGTAGGAATATATACGTGTATGTGTGTGTGTGTGTGTGTGTGTGTGTGTGTGTGTGTACATATGTATGTATATACTGTATATCCTAGAAAAAATACATCCTTGTAAACTGCAAGTTGAAACCACTTAATTGATAATTCTATGGAGATTGCAACAGAAATATGTTTCTATTTTTTATTTGCAAGATAGGGAGAGCATACAAATCATGATTTTAAATTCATTGCAGTCCTTTATTCAGGAATGGCTATAGGAAACACCTACAGTTTCTTTTGTATAATTAAATGCTGTGTTTGTGTATGTGTATGTGCATGCAGAATTTCTCCCTAAGGGCATATGAAAGCTCAGGGTGTGGGCATATGACTTATCTCTATATTTGTGATACAGTTTGTGTATACAGTATGTAGGGGTCTACTCAGGTGAGTGCTTGCATACTGTCTGTTATTTATATGTCTGTGTTTCTGCTAGCTCAAAGTGTACTTTGAGTGTTCTTTCTTTTAAATATATATATTTTCATTTGAATTCTTCCTCCCTCATGGAGAGATGGGATGGAAAGGACCTACATGCATGCATCCCCTGTCACTTTCCGTATGCTGGTTGTTGGCATAAGTCACAATTCAGAAGTTTTCCCCATCTCCCTCAGATTGTTTTGGCCTTTTCCTTTTTCTGTCCTTCAGTAAAAGGAAGTTGGCAAGCCCCTGTGCCACATCATAAAGATCTTTTGAAACTTATCTGAACTTGAAAAGTGAATTGCCTCATTCCACTGGGAATGCTGTTGAATAGCCTGAGGCACAAATGGATAGAGGGAGCTAACTTCTCTGTTTCTGGGCTTGTGGTTTCATGCATTTTAATAATTGAAAGGAGGAAAGGCATGTCTTTGGAGAATAGTAATGAATTATTAAGATAAACAACCAATGATTATAGTGTCCATACATTCCTGAAAAATGACAGGGCTAACTTGTGAGCTAGTAGCCTCCTGCTGTTTTGGATTATCTCACCCACAATCCTCAGTCACTGGCTGTGTCATCTGACCTTAAGATGGTTGTAGGGCACTTGTCTCTCCTCGGTAGAGCATGTTGTTAGAATCTCAAAATTCTTAGCCAGTGGAAAGAAGTCTAAGTAGCTTCAGCTAACATGGTCAAGATCCAACCAACTCAACCCTGTATACTGCCTTCCTCTCCATTATCTGTGTATCATTTTTTTATGTATCCTTTTTATTAGAATGGTTGGAAATTAATAGCATTTTTCTTCCTTTTTTTTTAAAGTGGTAACCCTTCAAAAGCCATAGTGTAAAACTTACAATATACCCTAGTTAAAAAGTTTAGAACTTTGTTAAAAAAAAAAAAGTCAATGTCTCCAAATAAGGCAGACAAAAACCTAAGTCTGACCTTCCTTTTTTTTGCCTCACATTTTGAAACACTAGAGATCATCAAGATCATCACTACATTTAAAAAAAAAAAACCCTAAAATACGATTAGCAAGGGATAGCCTTCAAATAATTAGGATGAAAGAATGCTCAGGCAGAAGATATTTGCAACATGTAAGTATAATGTTCTACCTCCTTCCTTAACATCTTTCATGTTAAAATATTGTGGAAAATGGGAGACATTATATGCTGGATGTTGTTTAAAAAGTAAACATTCCTACTATTACAAATCTCTGCCATATTTATTATATCAATTTACAGTACATCATAAAACAAGACATTCTGCTGGAAAACTCCACAACGAATAAATTTCCATTCTTAGTTAACTTAAGCTTTGATACGAACAACTTCTCACTATATCTTGTTCACCTTTGGTTTAGCGTATGGTATGAACATATTCAATTATGGTTTATTTGATAATCTATGCCTGGATAAACCATGATAATGCACTGAATGAATCCAGTCATTTGTTGTTGTTAATTGCGAAGTCATGTCCGACCCATCGTGACCCCATGGACAACGTTCCTCCAGGTCTTCCTGTCCTCTACCATCTTCTGGAGTCCATTTAAGTTCTCACCTACTGCTTCAGTGACTCCATCCAGCCATCTCATTCTCTGTCGTCCCCTTCTTCTATTGCCCTCAATCTTTCCCAGCAGTAGGCCCTTTTCCAGTGAGTCCTTCCTTCTCATTAGGTGGCCAAAGTATTTGAGTTTCAACTTCAGGATCTGGCCTTCTAAAGAGCAGTCAGGGTTGATCTCTTCTATGACTGACCGGTTTGAATGCCTTGCAGTCCAAGGGACTCGCAATTGAAGGCAAATTATGTGTTTTAAAGATCAGCGTTAAATTGGGCATGTTAGACTTATGAGCTTCTGCTGTGCAGCTAGATTTGTACTTATCAGAAAATATCTAGCCACTACTTGGAACTTTAAACCAGATCTTACATTTTGGAGAGAATGAAATGAAACAGAATAGAATGGAACCGAACAGAACAGAATATCTTTGATTCATATAGCTAGATATTCCAGGATATTCAATGTTAAACAGTATGTTTTTATAAAAAATTGAGTTTAAGTAGAAACTCATTGCCATATGATTGAATAACAAGATATAAAAGTAGTGGTTTTATTAGTGGTTCATTAATAGTTACAGTCAGTGCTTTTTTTCTAAAAAAAAAAAAAAAGGTGCTGGAATTCACACACGTCATACAACCCGCCTTGCCTACCCTACAAGGTTCCATCCAAAAAAGGTGCCAGAACTCCGTTCTGGGCATTCTATGAGAAAAAAAGCCCTGGCTACTGTTAGGTATTACACCATGGACTTGACAACTATACTGGTTTCTGACACGAGCATCTCTTTTTCAGTTTCAATGTGGTTTTTATTTTTCCAATAACATAGGAATCTATATTTCTGTAGAAAGCAGAATATTAAATACTGGTATTAAATCTGTAATGAAGATAAAAAAGCCACATTATAACTGTACAAAAGGGAGATATAATCCCTCTTCCCTTGTTATTACTATAACTTTGTGCTATATGTAGTTGATAGCTGTTAATATATTCCTTTAGTAAGATCTTACTATCTACATCTGTTAAAATGTTCAAAGTATTTATTTAGTTTCATTGTAATTTTTTTTTTAAAAAAATTACATCCAGTATCTTTAGCAGATTTGTGGATTCCTTGGTCTCTTTTGCTCTCTCTAATATACACACCTATAAACATATATAACACCGAAGGTCTATGATAGTCAATGAACAAACAACATGTGGATGCTATTATATCCCCAGACTCAGTTGAATGACTTGTGTTTAAGGCATTTTGCCACAGAACTGTTTTCCAAAAGAAAAACAATAAGAGGACCCTTGAGATGTATGTGAATAAGTGAAGAGTGAGGGGATCTCAAATTAAATCTTAAATAACACATAGATCTCTGGCTGGTTAGTGTGTGGATATAACATTATTTTTGGCCCACAGATGCAAAAGAGCAGTCAGCAGAGGAGAGATACTTACAACTTATTAACCAGAACAGGAAGATTTTATTACTTAAATTTCCAACCAGGGCCAAATGGAAAGTTGGCATGGGGAAGGTTCTTATGACCCCAAGTTTTTAATGCAGATATTGGGCAACTGCTAGAAATGCATTACCACAGCCAATAGTGAAATCCTGGAGCCATGTTATGAAGGCTCTTTTGTTCTTAGTCACCTCTGTGATCAGGTGACTAGAAATAAAGCTGATGCTTACTGGATATAAGCCCAAATGCAAGATGAATCTCATAGCACTGATCTTAAAACTACTATTCATAGACCTATATTCGTCTCCAACTTTTGTCAAATCTGCCCTGGAGAAGAATTCCCAGTTTACCCAAGGAGTTTATGAACTTTCCTTCCTAGTCTCCCAGCTGCAATTCCTTTTTCTATACTTGGCTCAATAATAGTCTCTAACCACAGGAAGAAGGAAGACCTGATCTTTTAAGCTTTTATTCAGTGCTTAGGCAAGCGGGACAGAAAAGAAACATGGATTTATACAGGAAAATGTCTTTTGTGAGCGGAAGAAAAATCGTAGGCATCTATATATTTAGAAATGAAGTTTCAGCTCATAATTTGCCTATCTCAGCTATTCTTCTATACTAACTAAGGTCTTCTCTCCCAGCAATGTCACAGGTCCCCTACCTCACCTGACATTAGTAGCAAAAACAGACATTGTTCAAAGAGATGCTTATAGGCCCTGTCTCCTTTCTCTTTCCCTTGCAAACTGCCAGGCAAACTTAAAGAATAAAGTAGATGGTAAATTAAATAGCAATGTTCAGTAAGCAAACAAAATCCCGTAAAGAGTTTCAAGTACAATGAAGATGTTTCCAAGAAAGATCAGTGAGGAGACTAGTTCTCTGTATTTCTCAGGAGAAAGAGAGATTGAAAGATCATCCACAAATTCTCTAAAAGTAGCTCCTCACAAGGAGATCAAAGTGCCTTGCAAGAGTTGAGTAGATGACATCTTTGCTCTCAGCAGTGGTGGAGATAAAACCAGGCAAACTCATGTTCTAATAATTATTTTTGAATGTTCAATTTAATCAGTTAGTGGATATTAGAGACATTCAAACAGCAAGCTTAATTTGACATCTGGTGAGTTTTACTTTCTTTGGATTTATGAAATCTTAAATAAAGTCTCAAAAATTTACAAGTTAAATTTAATTACACAAGCAAGTGTCCCATTAATGGATAATAATGAAGAAGGAAGTGGATGATGGGAAAAAGAAAATATCGTGTTTCATGATATATGTATAATATTGTATTATTATACATATATCATGAAACACAATATTTTCCTTTTCCCATCATCCACTTCCTTCTTCACTGTTATTATTTATTAGATTTATGTGGTAATATTTCTCAAAAAATGTGAAATTACTGCTAACAAAGAGCTGACACTCTTTAAAAATTATGAATCAGATTAAATCTTTCAGCATTCTATATCATAGAGAAAGAAGGCAAAAGGGTTAAAACAAAATACAATAAAACGTTAAATTGAATTATATGAAGGACTACTTTTGAGTTTTATTTTTAAAGGAAGCTCCTCTTTTGAAAATACATAAGCTAGCTTCATGAAAAAAATGCTGGCTGGGTGAAATATGAAGTTGGTGTCACTTCTAATTTTCTCTTTGGAAGAACTTTTGTATATTTTACTTTGATTACCTCTTTCAAATCATTTTTCATTTCCGTAGTCTCTAAAGACATTATGTACCTCATATAACCTTACATTTGGAGAGCATTGAGGATGCTATCATTCTTCTGACATTATATAAAGAAACTAAATTGTTTTAGTGAAATAAGTTTTTCTTAAGTTAAAATACCTTCAACCCTTAATATATTTGTGTGTGTAGATAAAGAGAAAATATTCTCTGAGGGACTTGGCTATAGTTCTCATATATGAAGAGAAATGAAATCTTATATCATATGACCATATTTTCCATAGCTTCCACTTTTGCGGTTTCATTTTAAAATTGTCATCTTAATAAAATGTGTGCAGAGGTTGCATTTTGTTTTATTCTAGTCATCTTTATTCTTTGCCTGGATATTAGAATCCATAATTGCATTACTAAGTGTCAGGTTATGGCCAAAGCAGAACAGCAGAATGGAGCAGATAATGGAGAATATCCAGAAATAGGTCTGGAGTGTATTGTTCACTGGGTTTTTGGATGCTAGGGCTACCAGTGGGGAGGAGGTGGGAAAGAAACTAGCCCCTTCCTTTTTATGTATGATGTCTTGATATTTTTTGAGCGCCCTTACCCTTCAGACACTCTAGTTTCAAATCTTTTTCATTTGAAATTCCCTCCATTTTTTATGAGGCTCATACAAAAGTTTAATAAGTTTGTTTTGGGACACTTTCGCTTAAAAACAATTACTAATCTGAGATATTATGAGGTGGAATAAAATCATGAATAGGGTAAGTAAAATATACAGGGATTTTTTTCCTTTGTCTTTCAAAACACAATAAACCAGGAATTGTCCACTGAAGGTGGTAGGATAGAGATTTAGAACCAAAGAAAAAACAAGAAGGGACAAGAATGAAAACAAGTAGGAATCTGTGTTGCTATATTTGGAAATGTTATGGACTTACATCTGTTAGTACAACTCTAGTAGCAGCACCTGCCAAAGTTATATTTTCGTAAGTATTAGGGAAATATTTTTAATGCCAGTTATTTTAATTTGTGAACAGCTTAAAGTTTTTTTGTCTGCTCTTGCTGAGTTTTAATTATTATGACTCATTAAATTTATATGCCTTATCATTCCCAATGACTTGGGGGAACTTTATCTCTTTTAGTTATATAGCATGCTGCTGTCCTTTTATTTAATAATAATAATAATAATAATAATAATAATAATAATAATAATCTTCCATCCTGCGATGATATATATAATACCATCAAACATCCACATCTGCCTATCCCAGGTCCTGGGTAAGGACTTGATAGGTAGACAAAATGCCAAATCCAATCTGAACATCTGGCTGACTGCGATGATCCATAATAATAATAGTAATAGTAAAGTTGGAAGGTACCTTGGAGGTCATCTAGCCCAACCCCCTGCTCAGGCAGGAAACCCTATACCATTTCGGACAAATGGCTGTCCAGTCTCTTCTTAAAAACTTCCAGTGTTGGAGCATTCAACCTGGGGGCAGGTTGTTCCACTGGTTAACTGTTCTAACTGTCAGAAAGTTTCTCCTTAGTTCTAGGTTGCTTCTCTCCTTGATTAGTTTCCACCCATTGCTTCTTGTCCTGCCTTCAGGCGCTTTGGAAAATAGCTTGACTCCCTCTTTTTTGTGGCAGCCCCCGAGATATTAGAACACTGCTATGATGTCCCCAATCGTCCTTCTCTTCATTAAACTAGACATACCCAATTCCAGCAGACGTTCCTTATAGGTTTGTTTTATTGTTGACCTGTCCTGGATACAATATTTGTGAGTGAATCATGATCTACATACACATAATTAAATAATCTTCTGCAGTCTGTTTCCTTCTCTTTATCTGTATCTGCATATGTGTGCTTGTTTTGTGTATAGGAATAGAATAGATCTTTTGCAAAGCCAGATTTTTGAAGACAGGTGATAAGTCAGCTGTACTTAACCACTCTCCTAGGTTGGGAATATGTCCGGGTGGCATAAGTTCAGGAAAGCTAAATTAGACACAAAGAGATATTGATCCATTCCACATGCATAATCCATATGCATAATCTACAATCTCATTCATGCTAAAACAAACATGTGGCACTGAAATGTGTTTTTTCCCCAGTCTATTGGAACACAAGATTCTTGAAATGGAAGAAAGGCATAAAGAGGAACTAGATACACTAAAAGAGGAAAAAGAGAACTTGCAAGTTTTGGTATCTCGTCAAAGCTACATTATCACAGAACTTGAGAGGCAACTAAGTAAAGCAACAACCAATAACAGCATTATGCAGAAGCAACAACTTGAACTCATGGACACAGTCCACAGCCTGGTCAGCATTTGTTCTAAAGATGGAGGTAAGATGGTATCAGTTTGAAAAATAAACAGGAATACATTGATTGAATATATTTAGTGAAATGAATGACTTTATTCATTCCAGTATACAATTTCCCAAACTAGTTAATGGAAGAAGAAGAAAGGGACAATTGTGCCTTTCCCTGAATTTCCATAACTAATATCAATGGGCTGTGAGGGTTGATATTGATGATTGTAGACCAGCAACATTGGGAGTAGGCATATAAGTTCCCCTTCCAGTCTAAGAGCTAAAACATTTTATTTGTTTTCCTTAAGAGTATAAAATCCTTTGATTTGACTACATTAAAGTGATGCATTTTGGAGTGGAAGCAGAACAAGCCATTGCTAACGGTCTGGACTGGACTGGTAGTATGAAAAGAGAACATTGGGATCAGGTGCTAAACCCAAGGAAAATATTGAGATCTTATTAAGCAGATTTATTGTTTCTCATCTATAGACAGAAACCTTGCCAAATTAAAGCAAACTAGCTTGCATTAAAAACATAAACAATGAGAAGTATTAAAGAGGAGTAATTTTCTCCCTCTTTCTCTCACATAAATTATCTAGACTGCATTGTCTCTTGCTGCTCTGGAATGCACTGCTTCCCTCCTAGGAACCCAGACAATTTTCTATCATATTGGGTGAGGCTTGCTGGTTCTTGAGAAATTTTATCTGTGAATTCTGATAATTTTCAGAAGATTTTTCTTTGCCAGACTTGGGTTGAACATTGAAGTTTGACTCTTGCCATATTGCAGATTGTACAGATCATGTGGTCCTTAAACTTTTGCTCATCTGTATTCTTATTCTGGTAGTCATTTGACAAATTGATCCACTCTATTCAGACCAGTGTGGGCAATCAGTAGAGGTCCTGATGTTGTTTGAAAGAAAAATGGCAGCAACTGTAGCTAGCCTGGCCCATACTGAAAAATGCTAAGAGTATTTAAAGTGGCTCCATTCCCTAGCCTGATAAAAATGCAGATCTCTTTTATTAAAGTGCTGCACCCTTCCAGAGTCAATTGGGTTGTGTCTGTTGATATCTCCCAGACAAAAACACCACTTTTTGTTTTGTTTTGTATTTTTAAACTGTGGTTAAATTGAATTTAAAAATATTATCTAATTAGAATTTTAAAATAATATCTTTTATAAACTTGATTATTCTATATTACTAAAATGGGTGAAGGAGGAATATATCATTTTGTAGCTGAGAAAATATCCATCTTATCCTAATTTCCTTCCCAAAGTATTTGAAGTGAGTCAGCAGTAGTATTTTTTCACATCACATCTATTTATTTGATCAATGATCAGAACAATAAAAGAATTGGACAACAAAATTGCATTACAATAATGTAGCATAGTAAACTTTTTAAACTTTGTGTAAAATTCTAATAACATACTAGAAAACAAAACTACCATGGGCATAATATTTATTCTTTGTTACAGCAAATCTAATTCTGTAGTAATTTGTTTAGATACTTTAGTAGCTGTGACACCAAATTTAGTTCCATTAAATATGATGTTAGACTAATAAGAGGAAAGCAAGATAAAACTTATCTGATTTTCCTGTCTTGTATTACAAGGGACAGATTGGAGATTGAGGGATACTTTGATAATATGCACAGTGTACAAAACATGTTGGGTGGTTTTTATCAAGTTCGAATTGTGGTGATAGGTTCTTCTGGAAAAAGGAATTTTAGCTAATCCACCACTGAGAACTGCTGTAGGTAAAACATCATGTCTGACTCTAAAAAAGGATTGCTGCTGAGTATGGGATATAAGTGTGGTTAAAAATCTACATGATTTCCATCTAGGGTATTTTAAATGCTCCTTGATATGATTTAAACTAAGTTCATTCTATTGTTTAGCATCAAATAATCTGGTTTTGACAATTTGACAGGTTATTTTATATTCTAAAGACAATAGCAGGTCAAGAGAGAGGCCGAAAAGGCATATTTTTTTGAGGACTAATAGGTACCAAGAGGTTTGAAACTGATCTGTCAACATTAAAAGGATCAATCCTGCTGGGGGAAAATGGCATTTGAGCCAAAAATTAAATATAAACAGCCATGCCTTTACCTCTACTTTCAGTGATTTTTCCTACCCAAGGAAAGCATTGGATATACATTTTTATCCATGGAAAATTGATCGTATAAACCTGGTTTGGACCATTTCTGGAGTTTCATAATAAGGGAATTGGCCTAAATGTGTTCCATAAAACATCTGGATTATAAATTTTGCCTCAAATAACTGAAATGCAGCAGGAATATGTTCCTTACCTTGGGCATGAAAGAAACACTAGATTGTTCCTGAACTCTTCAGAATTAATTGTTTCATGCAATCTATATGACTTTTCCAAAAACCAATAGCAGGTAGGACAATCACTAAATATTTCAAACTCTTTAAGTTATTATATTTCACTTCCTGAAATAGTCTGCATATATTTTGTAAGGTTTTTTTTAGCAAAGTTTCATTTTCTGCTGATTAATTGCCTTTGTTTTTTTTTATAAGTGTTTAGATTGCTCTAAGTCTACTTATGTCTCCTTTTGGTATTCATGTAGTGCTTTTGGACTATATAAGATATATGATCCATCTCTGAAGTCCATAAATGAAGATACAGACTCAAATTTTCCAAGAGTCATTGTTATGTTAATCTAGTTCATATCCAAATCATGCTTATTAGCTTCCACTGGTAGATGACAAGTTTTGAAATACTATTGGGAATAAATATCATATGATTAGATCTATATCCCTTATTCTTTGCAGACCAAAAACATTCATTCTATACTGTTATTCTACACCAATACTAAGGCTTTTTTTTGACTTTGCTTTGGGGTTTCAGACAATCTAGAACCCTATATCAGTCAATAATAAATATGATATCAGGTGGTCAAAAGCATTTAGCAGTAATGCAATATGGTTATAGAGAATTGAAATCCTCATATAATTTTGAACAAGGGTGCTCCTGTTGACCACATTTAGCCAATGCACAGTAGGAAGTTATCCAACTTTTTAGCAAGGGAAAGGTTGTACAATTGAAAAAAGAGATGAATGAAGTTTTGTTTATGCTTGGGCTGGTCAGGGATTTAGCAATAACTATATTATGTTATGACTGAATAATAGAGGGGGAATGGCTACAACATACTTTCTCTTTTAAAATAGTTATAACAATGTGAAACAGATATAACACAAATGTAATTTTATAACATGAATATAATTCAGTTCTTACTATATAGCACTGACTTGAGAAAAGATCTTTATAAATAGCTTCATTGAATTTAAATTATCTAATTGACATTCATTGGGTATAAATATGTATATTACAGAGTAACCCTAGACAAGATATATATGTATAATGTTTTACAGTGCAGAAAGGTTATCATATGTTTTATAGTAAGATCTTATATTTTCTTAACTTATCAAATATTTTTCAACCCATTATTCTTATTCCAACTTATTTCAGCTTACTTTTCTGTTTTCTCTTCTTGAGTAAGCTATATCAAATAATGTATATATTTCCCCAATTTTCATAAGTAGAATACATGTTTTCAGTTGGATAAACATTACCAATTCTTTAACTTAATTTAATCTTTGCTGTATTCTATTGCAATGACTGCTAATATAACATCAATGTCTTGTCTCTTCAACTCAAATAGCTATCACAATTTTTAGTGACAGTTAAATAATTTATATGATATGCTATACCACACTGTTACATACAGCTTAGATGTAGGAGAAGGAAAGGTAGAGCCTGGGGGTGGAATTAAGAGAGGACTCAGCCTGGAGTAATTACAATCCCACAAGCATTCCAAGTCCATTGAAATTAATTCTTTTTTTTTTTGAATATATTTTATTGGTTTTTTTAATTTTAACAAAAAATATTTAAGACACACTGTGGTGTTTGGGTAAACAAACATTCCAATGGGAAAAAAAACATACAAAAACAGCTCAACTTAATACATTCACTATCATCTCTCTATTTCTCATAGATAACATAATAGATTTAATATATTCCATTTCTAGCTTAAGTTTCTATTACTACTCAACCTGTTTTAAAGCTTTATCAATTTAGACCCATTGAAATTAATTCTTATCTAGTTCCAACTTAGTGTTGAATGTTAGTTGACTAGAATCTTGTGTATAGCAATAAGCAATACATCAACTTAATTGGAACATCATCATCATCATCATCATCAAAAGTTGGAAGGGACCTTGGAGGTCATCGAGTCCAACCCCCTGCTCAGGGAGGAAATCCTACACCATTTCGGACAAATAGTTGTCCAGTCTCTTCTTAAAAACTTCCAGTGTTGGAGCATTGACAGCTTCTGGAGGCAGGTTGTTCCACTGGTTAACTGTTCTAACTGTCAGGAAGTTTTTCCTTAGTTCTAGGTTGCTTCTCTCCTTGATTAGTTTCCATCCATTGCTTCTTGTCCTGCCTTCAGGGGCTTTGGAAAATAGCTTGACTCCCTCTTCTTTGTAGCAGCCCCTGAGATATTGGAACACTGCTTGTCCTTCTCTTCATTAAACTAGACATACCCAATTCTAGCAGCCGTTCCTTATATGCTTTAGCCTCCAGTCCACTAATCATCTTTGTTGCTCTTCTCTGTACTCTTTCTAGAGTCTCAATATCTTTTTTACATCGCAGTGACCAGAACTGGATGCAGTATTCCAAGTATGGCCTTACCAAGGCATTGTAAAGTGGTATTAACACTTCACGTGATCTTGATTCTATTCCTCTGTTAATGCAGCCTAGCACTGTGTTGGCTTTGTTGGCAGCTGCAGCACACTGCTGGCTCATATTTAAATTATTGTCCACTAGGACTTCGAGATCCCTCTCACAGTTACTACTATTGAGCAAGGTACCTCCTATACTATACCTGTACATTTGGCTTTTCTTGCCTAAATGTAGAACCTTACTTTTTTCACCATTGAATTTCATTTTGTTAGATAGCGCACAGTGTTCAAGTCTGTCCAGATCCTCCTGTATCTGAAGCCTGTCTTCTTAAGC